CCGTTGAGCTATCTGAGCTCATTAATTCCCTCTACGTGGAATGTGTGTGCTCCATTTCAACCCAATGGTAGTGGCAAAAAAAAAAAAAAAAGAAAAAGCTACACTCTTCCAGGAATTCTGAGTTTCTGTCTGGAGGGATCGAGTCACTGCGATGAAACTGGGTCTCTCTTAATGACGGAGGGGTCTCTTGTCATCAGAATGTGTTTATATTACAGGCGCTCGCAGAGGAGCAACGGGACGCTCAGTCAAGCAACAAATCAAGTTTGTTTCAATTGGGGAATTGTTGCGCAATATTTGGCTTGCAGCCATGCATGCCGAATCTGAAATACTAATTAGAGGCATGTTAAACTGTGTGACCCTCAGCTTTTGAGGTACCCTTTAGACTCTTTCACTCGTGCTGCTGAATACAATGCTGCAGACAAATACTGGGCAACCATTAAAACTAGATTGAGACACAATAGATTGATGTAATTTGTTGTCTCAGAAAATATTAAAAGGAATTATTTTGTTAACTTATTTTATTTGAATAATTAAATGGTAATTAGCGTAGCTTTTACAAAGTGAAGCAAATGATCAGCGAACCGTTTCAATACAAAAGGGTCAACATGTTTTCTCCATGAGATTGAGAAAGTTGCAGTGAAGCGGTATTTCCCTGGAGTCTTATTCTTTGCTGATTGTGTTCATTTTTAAACTTACAATCACTGTGAACTCATCTCCGAGTCATCACATAAACCTTTGCTCGTCTACTCTCAGACTGAGGCTCTGCAGGATGACAACAGACCTCAACCGCTATCAGAAATAATATCCCATGATGCTTACTCCCGGCCACAGCTGGTAGGGTGTGACAGCATGGAAGAAGCTGTGGTTAGAACTGATAAAGGCCGGCCTTGATCCTGACACACAGGCACCTGCTGCCATCTGACAAAACTAAAGAACAGCCTTTTAACATCACTGACACGGGTAATGTTTCAGAAATACATTGCTTAGATTTGTATATTGATTTCTAAAGTTGTAACATTTACAATGTTTTAGTTTATGTAGCTTTATGCAGGTTTTGAAAATCCAAATGATTATTTCTTCATATTTTTCATTATATAGAATTCACAGTCGAAATAGACAGATATCAAAGCAACAGATTAGTTGAAAAAAGTATAGACGATATCATAAAATAAAACATTTCTAACAGTTGTTAACGACAGTAAGTCTGCAGTAGTTATTTACTTTCAACTGCGTGTTCAGATTCCTTGTTTCTTCTTATTGCATTAGATCCACAGGCCTCCAGCTTTGAAATGCAAAGAGAGATGATTTGAATGGTGATCGTGAACAACAAAAACAGAGGTGGTGTGTGAAGGTTCACTGGACCAGTGTTGTGTCTGACACATGAACCACGGAAACGCCCGCTCTCCCACAGATCTTTCTTCTCTGTCTCTTATCTCCTTTGTGATATGCAAACACTTTGAAGAGCGCTTGGAGATGATATGCGAGAGAATTAAAAACTGACGATTGCCGTTTTTCATGTGGGTCATAGGGAGGAGGAACAATGTACGTGCTGTTTAAAGTTGTTGCAGTTCTAACGTGAATGTTTCCAAATGTGTCCTTAAATGTGTAAAGCAATGAGTGATGATGGCCGGCGTTTTCAGATGTTGTTATCTTGAAGAGCAGAAGTCTGGCTGTCTCAAATGTCCAAATAGCGCTCTGAGAAAGTAGCGAAGCAACACAGAGAAAGAATTGTTCTGCCTGACTTTTGCTTAAGATAGTAACCATTTCATGGAGGCCACAGGCAGATAGGTGGGAAATGATGAAACTTTACAACACGCTGCTTTCGGGTTGTTTGTATCAGTTTGTCTCCATGCCCACAGATAGGAGGAATGGAATGGGCCTCTTTTATGTAACTGTCACCACTTCAAAATAACACCTGTTGCTTTTGAGCATTCCTCTCCTGCATCATATCACGTTAATTTGTAATATATATTCACGTAATTAATTATAGTATTTTAAATCAATAGGCCTCCTGATTTAAAAAGAAGCAGCTTATTAAACTGAACTATCCCCAGAAACAGTTGTATGAATATGGATGACTATCATATGGAAAAATAGTTTATTTTTTGCGTGGTCTGCAAGGTCACATATCTGCGTAGTTTATTATGCCTTTTTTCGCTGAAAGAAATCATTCTTCTTACTTATCCTGCTGTAGAAAGTTTGAGCCTTGTTTTATTTCTTGTTAAGGGTCAGAGGCATTATTGACCATTTCCCTTCCTGTGCACAGTTATGTTGTTTTAAACCCTGAGTAAACCACAGATTGATCTCAAGAATGGGTGTATTTGGGGACTGCCATCCGTCATGGAGGCTGAAGGGGTTGTTTTCTCCCGGCCCCTTCACCTTTGATGAATCCCCGCAAAAGACTCCGCTGGGGAAGACACGGCTAGCATTTGCCTTGGCTCAGAGGTATTGCATTTTCTTTTCCCTTTCTGCTGATTCTCTTAGTTGTGCCGCAACCTTTTGTACATGTAGCACATTACTTTAGTTTGTGTTTGTTTGTAGTGGGTGGAACACAGAACGTTTTTTCCAAATTGTTTTGGGAGAAACTTCTTTTCTGTGCTACTAGTCAGCTACGTGGACTTCCTCTGAATGACTGGGTGTTCCTCAGGGGTATAGGTCTGCCTTTGCACTAGTTTATTTCCCAGAATAGGGTAAGTCAGAGAGCAATCTATCTTCTCCATGACCACAAACCACCCAGAGGAATCTGCGTTTAGCTTCTAGGAGCATGTGTAAGGTTGTGACCGTCGTAATCAGATATGCTTGGACTGTGAGATTGCTACAGATCCTCTTTTTTTCCCCAAAACAGCATCTTATTGTTGTCTTAGAAGGGTTAGGCTTCCAGTATGCCTCTCCTTTAACGGCCATGTGTCACCATTGAGTTCATATCAAGCACTTGTTACTCCTGGTGCACGCTACTGGTTTTGCACAAAAATCTTGAATGTTCAATATCCAATAAACAATACACTGTTAGCTGAGGCCTTCAGAACTCTATCGACTGAACTTAAAAGAGAACTTCAAGGAAACGTAAATTTCGAGGCAACATTGTGCAATAATTAATGGGACCTCAGCAGTTTGCCATCTGATTTCATCACACACACAGTGACTTCAGACTTCTCTTTTTCCCTTTGCATCCTTTTTTTCCCCCCTTTTCTTTTCTTTTCTTGCCTATTTCTATTATCCCTCCCACCCACTAGTTCTTTTTAAGTTGAATCAGGGGTCACCGACGTTCACTGGAATCCCCGACTAATATTCCAGATGGTGATGACAGGAACTGGCTCACTATATTAACCTCACAGCATTGTCCATTGTCTTCCATCTCAAATATAGAGTGTATTTTTTGATGCCATAAAAAATGAGTGCATTAAATCACGGAAACTAATTCTCTAGTGGCAAATTTATCATTATCCATCATGCTGGGGTCTAAAAGGTGGAGGTGTCCAACGGGTCATTAGTTCAGGGGTAAAGAAAGTAATTTAAATTGACAGACAGCTTGAAATTTACTTTTCCTTTTGCTATTTTTCTGTCATCACCTTTTTTTTCTTATTTTCATGAAGTAATGTCCACCAAAAACAGATTGATATATACGACTTGACAACACAAACAACAGCTCAATAATTCAAGATCTCCAATGTGAAGTTTTTTCATAATTTCATCATCTACAATAATTTGATACGTAATCACTTTTGTAAAACCTCCTTTAGTCACTTTGACACTAATACTTATATATAAGTGGCTGTGATGCAACACAGAATATAGCTCGGTATATTTTTAAAGAGCAACTTTGTCACATCTCTAAGTTTTTATGAAAGAAATGAACTCGACTGCTTATCTGACAAATATTATAATGTTAAAAGATCCACAGCAGCTGTTTTGAATTTATAGGCATATTCCAACTCACTACATTCCTGTGTAGTTCCACATTGAGTTAAGGTCAAAACCTCAATCTCCTGCTCTCTCTCTGTCTCTCAGTCTCTCACACACACACACACACACACACACACACACACACACACACACACACACACACACACACACACACACACACACACACACACACACACACACACACACTCATAAACACACACTCCCTCTCCTCGACTAATAAATAATTATAATTTTGTGGGATGTGGCTTTGCTCCAAGGCCATGCAGTATGTGTGTTGCTTTTAGCAAAAACAGTACTATTCCCAAAATGGGAAAATTTGACCAATTTTTCGTTTTGAATAAGCTAATAATGAATGAATATATATATTCAATAATTGTTATTCAATCTGTTGATTTGGCATGTCTATATATTTATATATAATACGCAAACATATTTATATAATATGTAAACATATTTATTACAATTTGATACATCAGTAAAAAAGGATCCAAGCATTTGGCTCAGATGCTTGTTTTGTCTCTATTGCTCATTGTGTTGCCTTATTCATTCAACTCTTTTGAAAGTTGGGTATATTTCATAAAAACACATGAGTCAGAGGAGTCAGAAATGGTGATGAAATTTAAAGAACGGCAACGGCTCAAGTCAATAGTGCACAGATTTACGAACATTTCAGTTTACTGTTCTTGTAATTACATTTTGTTTGAATCTTTTATTTAGCCCTGAATATCTGTAATTTTACAGATATTTAGGGTGTGTCTAACCCCAAATACTACATAAAAAATATTCTTTACATATCAATTAAATACAATCACACTATGCACACACATGGGAATCTACACAATGTGAACTTTTACCAAATACTCATGTGGCAGTTTAATGCTTTAACGCTCCTCTGTCAGCACAGAGAAATTAAACAAAAACACTTCTCTCTGTCTCGCAACACAAACCCTCAACAGAAACAGGGCTTGAACCTGAACAAATAATTTAGAGAAACACCCGCTCATGCAAATGTGACAGTAGTCAGAAGCTTCTCTGTCTGTGCTGAGCGGTAAAAGGCAAATTAAGTCATCTCCTTCCCAGCCTCCTCGCTCCTCCCCCAGCCCAAGGAGTTATGCACTATTTGAGCCTTCAGGAGAGTAGGGAAAGCCAGACACTATAGAGACAGAGGGACAGGGCACTGTTACCGAGACATACTCCCACTCCATACCCACTGGTAATACGCAGGGTGCTTGAGATTCGGCGTGGACATTTTTGTCATTGACAGTACTGCATCTATCTTCATTCTTCAGTTCATGACTTGGGAAAGATGGCTCTTGCAGTGTGTCGTGACCGCTGAAGAGTTTTCTCACTACTCCTTCAGTTAGTTGTTTTTAGGCGTTTTGTACAACTTCCAGGGGACTTCGGTTTATTACTGCGTGACTTGTTGAGCTGCGTCTTCCACCGGACTAACGTCGCTCCGTCTTTGGACTGCTTCAGCCTGCGCGCACAAATGTTGACCGAGCCGTGCGGAGCCATGTCGATGGGGTCAGATGTCCGAGATCTGACCCTCTTGCCTCCAGCGCCTCCTGTGCCGTCCCTAGTGGGTGCTGGTGGTGGCTGCGGGATGTCCGTTGGCGGTGGCCAGTGGACCCAGTTGCTGGACCTCCACCCTGGCACTCCCTACAGCTCCCTGCCCTCCCACCACTCCCTCATCAAGCAGGAACCAGGTTGGGGGACCACTGATCCAATAGAGGACCCTCACTGCGGACTCGGGGCCTTCACTGTGCACTTCTCGGGCCAGTTCACAGGCTCGGGCCCCTGCCGAGTAGGCGCCTTTGGAGAGCCAACTGCAGGTCAGCCGCTGATGTTTCCTAATGGAACCTACCTGCCCGGCTGTATGGACAGTCCTCCCGCACCCAGGAACCAGGGTATGCATGTTCATTACCAGTCCAACCTTCTTTCCTCAGCTCAGTGTCATGCCAGGACATTAAATCGAGCAGATGTTTTCACATACTAATCAATAAAATCAAGGTTTTATTGTGTTTTTCCAGCTGCGTGTGATAGTGACTTTTTGTTTATGAGTTGTCAGCAGCGCGTTATGTGCCGCACTGGGTCATTCTGTCCCACGTCGGGAACAAGCTTGACAGCTTTCTGATGATGCTCTGGCAGACTTCTCTAACAGTTCCTTTGAACTGGGCTTTTCAGCATTGATTAATGTTTTTCCTGGCAGAGTCACAGCGACCTTTCAGGCATCCGTATAAATATATGCAAGTAGACCTCACATAAGGTTTCACCAAGTTCTAGTACCGCATTCTGTCTTTATCCACTTGTGAAATGCGATGCCAGAAGCTTTTAAATAATACTTCCCATGCATCCGTATGAAGATCAACAACATTGTATTTTTATACGTTTTATTTCATGCTGGAAGTCTTACACATTGTTTGTCTGCAACTGGAAATAGATGTGTTTTGTCTAACAGCAGCGGCGTTGTACTAATGTCACTAGCACTGGTTGACAGCAACCCTTGGTAATGGATATCCAGAATTGCATCTATACCAACCAAGTTTATAGAAAATACACAAAAATAATAACTGAGCTGCCATGGTGGATGTTGCCGTGGGCATTGAGCTGTAGGGGAGGGACTTCATGCATCCATTCAACTGAAATTAGCCAGAAGGCAAAAATGCTGAATGTGCTCATCAGCTGATTGTAAATAAATTGAGAAGTTTTGCATTTAAAAGGTTTCATTTTGTACTATTATTGTATATTATACATATAACAAAGTTCAGCCTTACTTACTCAGTTTTCTTTTTTTCTTTTTCTTTGAGCACATGAAAAGAACATTTGACCTGTAATTTTGTTGAGCACAGATGTAAAAAACAAAAAAGAAAGGCAAAAATCGGGTTAAGACCTTTATTCAAAAGTATTTCATTCTGAGAAATAAGTTAAACATGAACCGTGAATCTTAAAACTTGATTTTCTACTCCAAACAATACTTGCGGAATCTTTTAATCCCAGAAGACCTTCGCAAAACAGATGCAAGGGAGTTGAACGGGTATTTGTCTGGAATCGTAAATTTGGAATCCAGCTTCTTATCTGTTTCCTGGACGTGATGTATCTACTTTTACTGTAAACAGCGCTGGATTGTTGCTTTTTTGTGGCTCAATAGTCAGATGTTTGGTTTAAGGCCGTATGTGTCTGCTGATGTGTATTTCTGAGTCTTTTTTTTTTATTTGCTCAGTGGGATGTAATTTGTTATGAATACTCAGCGTAGTACTCTGCAGGCCGCAGGGATTTAAGAAAGAGTCATTTTTCTGAAAAACCTTTCAGCCGGAGTGACTCAGGATTCGGCAACCTACGCGCGCGGTAAAATGTTAAATAAACATGCGTTTCGTTTGCCACTAGCATCATTTTCCCAAAACTTTCTCAATTTCTCAAAACAAATTATTGCTATCTTACCCATGTCTTATAAATGTTAATGAATGAAGAAATCAATATATTTACCAACCATGCGTTTAATTCATTACTTGTCGACCTTGTTTTTCTACTAAGCATATTCTCCAGTAGCTCATCTCAGTCTGTCCGAGGTGTGTTTGCCAAATTTCTTTTTCCACCTGCCATAAATATTGAAACCACAAGACCTAAGATAGATGGTGGGGATATTTTACAAGGAAATAGGATTTACTAGTTTGATGAATGTCTCTCTGTGGTGACCCTGCCACAGCCTAAGAGCTATTACCAGGGGGGGGATTCGGATGACTGACCAGATACTGCGAGCTTTGTTTGAGGGATGGTAATCTCATGACACAACCAGGAAAAGGATTAAAATTGAAATCTTTATCAATGCTTCTCTTCTTTGTTTTCTCTCTTTTTAGGCTACGGAGCAGTGGGTTTAGACAACAACCCCAGTTATGGCCACACTCCGTCTCACCACACCCCTCAGCTCTCCAGCCTGTCCTTCAAACACGAGGACACTTTGTCACCGCCGAACAACATAGGTAACTGTCCACCTCCCGACGCCTCGACACCAAATTGACGCGCAGACTGGAAGACTGTCATGTCGCCGCAAGGTTATATAAGTAACCCATCATTTTTCCTATCACAACAGAATCACCATTCTCCCTTTTTCCTTCATGTCACCACGTCTCTGTCTGCACACGCACTCGTAAACGCAGGCCTACATAAACAGCCTCCCTCTCGCTTTTTAAGCATACGCATGGTTAATGACTGGAAATGGTAATTTGAGGAAACAGCTTTATGTGACCGCTGGAATGTCAAAAACTGTCTGGGGACCGATAGGCTATATCAACTTAAAAGGAACCACTGTTTCTGATTGACCTGTTCTCTCTTTCAATGCAAGAGCTTTGCAACTCTGCATGCAGGTACAAAAGTGTGCGTTTGTCTCTGTGCTCTTCTAAAAAATATAATTGTGTGAAATTGAAAGATACGTGAAATACAAAAGTGTTTCCTTGGGGAAACCTTTCATCTTAGTACTGGATAGTAAGCTAACAAAGGTCAATGAAAACCTGAACTACCTGGTTTTTGAAAAGTAAAGCTCAAATAATTTTTGGATTGCCATAATTAAGGATGAAATATTCCATTATTGATTAATCATTGAAGTGTTTTTTTAAAACTAAAAGCGTGAATATTCAGCCCTTGTCTTTGCCTTTTCTGGAGCGTGAATGAGGATCCTAAGGTTGGAGTGAACAATACATTGAAATATGTCAGCTCCTGGGCAAATGCATTTGCTAGGATAATAAATGTGTACATTATAGAGAAAACATTTAGCAAATGTTGTCTTTGTATTTTCAGTTGACCAGCAGTACACTGCTCCTCCTCCCATGTTTGGTTGCCACAATCCATCAGAATCCTGTCCGAGCAGCCAAGCTCTGCTGCTGAGGAACTACAACAGGTGTGATTTTCCTGATCCTGCGTGCACCTATTGTCGCTTTCTTTGACTCCTGCTACCTTGAATCCGCTCTTGTTACAATTCCGCTCTTCTCAAAGGTATTCAGACTCCTCACACATCAATTCATTTCAGATTCTTTCCACTGACACCACACGCAGCTCTCTCGCTTGCTGGTCATTTTTTAGAAGTGTGAACTCTCTCTGATCCCTGCGTTCCCCCCTCTGCACTGTCTGGATCCTGCATGCAATTTGTTTTTGAGGTTAAGTGCTGCCCACTGGTGCTCAGCAGGCCAAAGCAAACAGTGATCTACTGCTCCATCTTCAGGAACAGAGACAAGTTGAGTGAAAGGGAAAGTTAAGGCTGGGAATCTGTTCACTGTAACCTCGGGGCCGTGCTTCCAACTTGTTTCCATTTTGATGGAAAACATCTCAGAGGGTAAATTAGAACAAAATTCTTTAAATGCCGCCCAGCGGTGTTGTTGGGGAAAAGGAACATGAGCAACCCAAATAATGGAACAGGACTTGATAAGAGGAAGGAAGACGTTGCTGTTTGGAGCTTTGTAGCGTGAACTGGAAACCCTCAAACAAACACGCACATGCACACGCACACGCACACGCACACACACACAGATTGAATATGTGTCAGATATCAGTGAGTCTTTCCACAGTTTAACATAGTTTAGAGCTGATTAGCGAGCCATCGCGATCCTTCCTTCAAGGACTACTCAGGAATGCCGTCCAGAATTCCCCCGAAACTTGTTCCCGCCTTTAATGATACTGAGGACAGAATGATGTCATGCGCTGGTCCATGGTGTACTAGGCACGGAGGCACTCACCCCCACAGAGCGCACAACTGCACTGCTGCAAGTATGTGTGTTTCTGTCAAGCGTGTGTGTGTGTGTGTGTGTGTGTGTGTGTGTGTGTGTGTGTGTGTGTGTGTGCGGCAGTGTGCCCTGCCAAGGTAAAGAATGGCTCTGAGCCCATGGTTTTTAATGAAGCCAGCGAGGAGTGGACAGGATGTGTTAATAAGCAAACAATTTGGAGTTTCCTGAATGAAACGTTTTCACTGTCCTTACAAGGGAAAGAAATGACAGGAGGATAAATAATTACATTTTCCCTTTCATCGTTTAAAACCCAGCGCTGACCTCGTTCTATAACCCCTTGATTCGTAAAACATTTGCTGTTGCCTTGAAATTTCTCAAACCAAATAAAGGGTGAAAAATTGAGTTTTCCCAAAGGTGCAAAATGCCAATAACCCGTGTATGTTTCGCTCAGTGATAACCTGTACCAGAGGGCCCAGCTCGACTGTGTAACATGGAACCAAATGAACAACCTGGCATCTTCCATTAAGAGGTGAGCCTTCTTTGAATTTAAATAACATGCTGTGTTTCTCAGTGGTGACCCATGTGTATGGTGGGGCAGAGGAGGAAGAGGAGGAAGAGGAGGGTTTGACCAGATGGACTGTTGGCCTTCTGCCAGGGGTAATCAGAAAGTGGAGAAGACTATTCATGTGTCCATACGTGTGTGTTTGTGTGCAGGCAATTCTTTCTCAAAGTGAGAACCTTTTAGTTAGTTAGTTGGTTAGTTAGTAGTTAGAGGTGTAGCCTAAGTGATATGAAGGATTGTACGGTATTTGTGGTAATAAAGCGTGTGCCATGGAGGAGGGAAATACTCCATGTAGATTAAACTCTTTTTGTTCTACTCTTGAATATATTTATTTTAACTGACTGTCCACAACGTATGATGCATCTGCACATCCACCAAACCATCTGTGCACTCACACTTTCAAGTTGTTTAATTAATCAATATAACTTTTGCTCCTGACCGGCAGTGGTCATCCACCCAGCTACGACAGTGAGCCCACAGGCCCTCCTCCACCCATGCTCGTCAAAGCCCAGTACCACATACACACACATGGTGTCTTCAGAGGACTTCAGGTAAGTCAGAGCAAACACACATGCAACCTGACACACAATCGATCAATACGTGAATCTGTCCACTCCAACGCCCTCTGAACTCTTCTTCCTTAAGGATGTTCGACGCGTAGCTGGTATCGCTCCACCAGTCGCGAGGCCATCGTCAGAGGCCAACGAAAAGCGTCCGTTTGTATGTTCTTATCCTGGCTGCAGCAAGAGATACTTCAAACTGTCGCATCTTCAGATGCACGGCCGCAAACACACAGGTGAGAGGCCGCTGAAGATAATGAAAACGATTTTAAAAGAACGACGTACTCTGTCGGTGAAACAGGTTTTCATGCTCCGGATCGACGATGTGTAGTTGTCTGAACGGTGGATTGATAAAGCTGTTGATGTAGGTGGTTTATTTTGCAGGGGAGAAGCCGTACCAGTGTGATTTCACCGACTGCGGCCGCAGATTCTCTCGTTCCGACCAGTTAAAGAGGCACCAGCGCAGACACACAGGTACACGCCGCTCCGCTGAGGTCATGACCTCGGGGTTTTTTCTTCTCGGAAGAAGTTAGGAAAATGTTGGGTGGGCTTTTACGAGCAGATTCAAGTTTTATATTCAGTGTATTTCATTTGAACATAAAAACAATCTTTTCAGACTCCCTGAACAATTTATATTTGTAATTATTTATTATTTTATATTTATTATTTATTATGTAATAATTATTTATTTTATGCATTTATATATATTTATTTATATTTATTTCAACTTACACAACGTTATTGTCATGACACTACCCATGGTGAATTTAAACGTTTGACTCTCCCCTCACCGTCTGTCTCAACGAACAAACAACCGTTTGCACCTCTGTATAGGAGTGAAGCCCTTTCAGTGTGAGACCTGTCAGAGAAAGTTTTCACGGTCAGATCATCTTAAGACGCACACTCGGACTCATACAGGTAAAACAAGTGGGTATACCTTTATTTTTCTACCTCAACATTCTGTTCCCAATGAGATTTTTCGTTCGGCTCAGCTGACTTAATTTCATGTCCAACAAAACACCAGTTTACATCCCGTGAGTGGAGCTCACTCTCAAGCAATGATTTATCTCACTTCTTGTTGTTTGTCCCCTCGCCGTCAGGTGAGAAGCCATTCACCTGCCGCTGGTCCAACTGTCAGAAGAAGTTTGCCCGCTCTGACGAGCTGGTGCGCCACCACAGCATGCACCAGAGGAACCTGACCAAGCTGCAGCCGGCCATCTGAACGGTGGGAGGGGGACGAGGAGGACGAGGTAGGACGAGGAGGACGGTGACATTATGTCCTGCCAGCAAGTGGAGAAGGACGCTGGAGCCTGGTCAGTGGTTCGGGGGGGCGTTGCCAAACTCACTGAAGTGGTGAGCCCAGCTGATGCCTCCCTCTGCCAGCCGACGTCAAGAGATTTTAATGATTCCCAGATCTTCTTGACGCACCTCAACTAGAACTATTTCTGGTTTATTTGACTTAAAAAAAAAACTCACACTGAGAGGGTACAATGCCACAGTGATCCTGAGCCAAGAAGAAGATGTTTTAATGTGTGATAAGGAAAATGTTGATACACGATTGGATATTTTAGTACACTTGCACTGGCTTCTTTTTTATTCTTAAAATTGTGTCACCTTAGAAATGTGCTGGACAATGTAAACTGGATTTAGGAAATATGCAATGTGACTTTTTTTCTCTATTAAGCTTTTGGAATGTGAAAATCTTTATATTCTCATAGTATATATACTCTTTACATTGCTTTGTGTGTTTGCTTACATTTATAGACGTTCCTTTTGTATTTGTATTGTATTGTTTTTTTCTAAGTTTATAAAATGTTGATTCACATCGTTGTGATTTAAGAGTATGGGCTTGTGTGTGCGTGTGTTTGAGAGAGTGAGAAAGAGAAGAGGTGTCGGTGTTGTCAGGTTAAGAGGCCACCTATGAGTGGTGGGGAATGAGGAGAGGGGAGTTGGGGGTTGGGGGTTGGGGGGGGGGGGGGGGGGGGGGGGGGTGGGGGCCGTGACAGACAGTAAAACAGCACCCAGCTGCGACTCTGACAGGGTGCAGGTCTCACCCTCCTAAATCTCTGACACACATCTTCATAACCAGGAACATCTGGAGCCCAGTAAATCTCATTAGAAAAGACACATACCTCAGTGTCAGCTGGCTGTACTCCACTGACCACCCCCTCTGCATCGGCTGGCCCCTAAATCCACACACACACACACACACACACACACACACACGAAAGCCCACACATTAATGTCCCAATTGTAAATAATATCGTCCAATTCGAAAATACATTTTACAACATTAAGCCACATGATGGCAGTATCAGCCAGCTGTGCTGCAGTGTGACTGAACCCACGATGCTGCTTTCCCTCTTACAATTCATTCTTTATACAGTACATGTCCACTCCAGTCGTGTGACGAGGGGTCACAATAAATATGTTAAAACGGAAGTACATTCAAAAAACATGCCCTGCTCCACCGAATATACGTGATGTGGATGGAGTTGTATGTCAAATCTATAGGGGAGGAGATGATTCAGCTCCAGCTTAATAAAATATGACTCAATGTGGGAAGAAAAGAGCAGCTGCATGGATCTGTGGTCTAAGGACGTCACTTACCTGGAAATGTAAACACACGTGTGGTATGTTTAGGTGTTGGCTACATGTTCACACATAGAAACCACAGCGTTGGAACGCATTCTCTCGAACTCTTGAACACACACACACAGTAAAACGTACGTAAACACATCTGCTTCTGCATTGCTGCTATTTTTTCCATAACTGCTCCTGACTCTTTCCAAAATAACAGAGGGATTAAAATACCATTTCAGGGTCACAGACTTTAATGAAGTGGTTATTCAGGTTGTTTTCCAATCCACTAAATGGCCACGAAGTAGTATCTCTGTGATCTATTTTTTTTCAGCATCTTAATCCGATGCACTTTGATTAAGAAGTGCTTCTCTTTGTTCTCTCTCTGCAGGTGCCTCAAGAGGGAGAGGAAGATCAGAGGGACAGCAAAGTTGAACATTTCTCTCACTTCAGTTCACTCCTAAATGGACAAAGCTGTGTGGTGTTTAAGGAACCCAAGCTTTATACATCCTCAACATTACTGCCATCATTATTGCAAATGTTCAAACAAACTACATGGAACTCTAATCTATATTCATTCAATTAATTGTTTATGATCAGAAATAGTGGTGTAGAGTATCTCATAACAGCACAAAACGTCTGCATTCCCATTCCACCAATCCACATGCATGAACACACACATGTACACGCATACACACTTGCATACGCACGCCACCAGATGCCCCCTCAGCTGCACTTCTGGCTGTTCGCCTTTAAGGGGTGTCAGCGTGGGTAATCTCAGGTGACGTACACCTGGTAACGCACAGCCCAAGACATCTGTAAGACAGCAGGTCTTCCGAGCCTCCATATATCCACGTGCGACCCCCACAAAATGCTTTCTTTTTAAATGCGAGTGTGATTAACTTCAACGTCACAATGAAAGCCAATAAACGGGCCCAGTTCATTCCATGCAAGTTCAAACCTTAACTCTCTACTATTGAGTCGTTTCATTTACTTGGTCTGATGAGGTGTGATATTATTGTCAATAAGTCATCCGGTGAAGTCCCAGGTGCATCCAACAATATCATAAAGCTCCGCCTGCATTTCTTGGGGTCAAAAAGACATTATTTAACCTCCGGGAGCAGGAAAGGTCAATGCACAAGTAGCACATGGAGGCCTCTATGGGCCCCGAGGGATTGTTAACAAGGTCAGGCCCTGGAGAGGAAACTGACACGACACAAGGAGGCCTGCTAGAAAAAAACATTGTCTACCCCACGAGAGGGGGCTGTCAATAATGTGGCAGGTTTAATTGAAACATTTTTTAGTTGTTTCCCCAAAAAGAACCCCCCCCCCCCCCTCCCTTCGGGCTAGCTCTCTTGTGCAGAGCTGCTGCTCCTCACAGTCTGAGGGGCCTAGGGGTTCTTGGGGGGGGGGGGGTATTCCCTGTGGTAGCGCAGGGAGCCGGAGGGGCTCCGGTGTGTAGGAGCTTTGGGAATGCAGAAGCCTTGGGGGCCTGGAGCTCAGATGGGGCCTGGAGGGTGAACTTCCTCACACAGGGAGCAGAGATGGAGCAGGAACATACAGAACGCGAGGGGAAAACACCTTGAGAGAAGTCTGTCAGATATGTAGGCAACAGCCGGGAGGATCCCATGGGGGGGCACACAGGCAGGGAAAAACAAACACACACATGGATATGCTATACTCTCACCCAAAATCAAGGTCAGCAAACGGTGTTTTTAAATACTCTTCTCTCTCCTTAACCGACCCGTCTTTCATCTTCTCCTCTCTTCTCCCTCCTGCTGTCTCCCCCTTTACCGCTGGAAGATATTCGTCTAACAGGATTAGATGCGTCTCTATCATGTGAGACACAAGATCACAAACCAACCCGAGGCCCCCGGGGAACAGCAGTACGGGAGGGATGAAGCAAGGCCACGTCTCATCTCTCCTCTCCTGCCCTCCATCCCAAAGGTATCCAGATGGTGGGACACGGGCCGAGACGGCCAGAGAAGGAAATGTTGACAAATGGAGCGAAAGAAATATTTTGTCCAAAGATATAGTCTCATTTGGAATTCATTGTCCCCACCCTCATTGTCATGAACTCCAAAACGACCTCACTGTGGGCCCCTTTGCCCGTCTTTTAATAAAAACCTTCCAAAGTTTCTCTCTGCATATATCATTATATCAAAATGAGTGGGCAACTAAAGTAGCAACGCAGCTGCCTAAAAGCTGCTTGTTACTGATTTCGCGTTATCCTGACCTCAGATCAAAGGCCTCCCATTTCTCCAGAAGCAGTTACAATTAGTTACTGACTCACTAGGTTTATGGTTCCTAAATTGAAATGTATCGCTCTTTAAATCCTTCCCTCTAATTGTGGTGGTCATTAATGGCCGACTCCATATCTACTCCACGTTGATGGGCACATAAAAACTCCAGATGACAGACGAGCACAAGCGCAGTTGTTAAAAGCGAGAAGTTTCCTCTTGTTCCGTCTCATCACCACTAGGAGGAGTAGAGTCCTGTGATGGGCCAGACGAGGCCACTTTCTCCGTGGCATCAAAGATTGATGGATTCCTTCAAGCTTCATTGTCCAGAAGTAGAAACACGTGAGGCCCCCAAATTAGCTTACATGCACATGACGCACACACATGCAATCACACAACTTGCACAAACACAGAAGGAATGGTCCGCGAGGCATCGGGGCTGTCGCCAGGACTCGATAAAGGCTGAAGTCAAAGGTCCAAGTTCACCGAATGTCGCCCCTCCACCACACGGCGGAAAGAGGGTAAATGTTTTCTCATTCGTGTTTTTCTTATTGATTTACTCACATAACTGAGATTGATGGCGTTTAATGTTTTTCTTGTTCTCGCCATTATTTAAGTGCTACACTGTCAGTGAGGCTTTTGTGGATGAAAGATTTTGCTTAAACATTAAGGTGTGTTTTGGTAGGGGAAAGCTATTTTGCAGCAGTACAGTTTGCCTGAGGAGTCTGGGACAGGTGAACGGATCGCAGTGTGATGTGAAGGAGTCTGACACAATTTGACCAGTGAAACATTTTTTGGTGGTTTTAAAGAACATGATCTGTTTTTGGCTGAAGGGACGAATAGAACCTCCCTTCAGATCCCCTAGAACTACTTCTTATTACCAGAAAAATAAAAAAGCACCTCATTAAACGAGGTAAATAGTATCTAATTACGACGCCAATAACAATAACAGCAATAACAATGATATTATTCTCAATGTTTTAAGCTCCTGTGCGCATGGTCACAGCAGTCATTTGCCTCATTCTGTGCAGTTTCAGCAGCAGGAAACTATGACTCCATCAAAAAGACAAAGTGACGGCTTGTCCCTTAAGCTGTCAGATCAAGGCAAAGACACGTATATAAAGTCCGGCCCTTAAGAGTGTTCACGGTCTAAACAGCTCCATAATGAGCAGAGATTGTGCCGTATTCTTGCCCTTGTGCATGTCATTATATAACGGGTCGGACGCCTGTTACGACAGCCTCAGCACACGATGGTTCAGATGTCCCAGAGATCATTGCAAACAACACAGTGGGCCAGAAATCCCCAGGGAACAAGGAACAAACACCAAGAGATAAAAGACGAAAATGAGAGAACGAAATAGGGCATAACGATGACAAGCGTCAGGAGGAGCAGGGGAGTTGAAGGAGGGGATGCACAGTGTAGTTTATTACGCAGGCAGTTTAACTGTTATGGTCATTTTGGGTTTGTTGCTGTTGATTGCTGATATGGAAATGGCAGTTCTATGAAGAAGAAAAAAAGCACTTTAGAAATGAGATGCAAGAGTAAGTGAAAAGTAGACTGAGGGGGTTTCATATACTAATATTCTAAGCTTCATGACCCTCCTCTCCCACTGATTCCGCCCCGCTCTCACCCCGAGGGCTCATTATTATCAGTGCAAAGGGGTTGATCTACGCAGACAATCATATGAGAGCTGTCTGAAGGCATCACTGTACACACACTCCCCCAGTGTGAATGATTAGGAACCTATCATAAACAGGAGGGGCAGGCTGTTAAACATGACCGCGAGGCAGCCTGCACAGATAGCCCATGTGCCCCCTCGTGCTCAGGCAAACACACATTGGGTTCTTTTACATCTGCGTGGACGACTAATACTCATCCACCTTCACTCACACACTGGCAAAGACTCACAGATGCACCCTGACACATGACAAATCTCATATGCTATCAGGAGGAAGTACGTTGAGCTACTTAGTGTTTTAGGCCTCCCAATTATTCAAATGCACGACGCGAGACTGACCCCACACCCTTCAGAAAGGCAACAGACCAAACATTAGATTATCCAACGGGCATTATAAATACAAATTTGAAAATAACAAAAAAACAGGCAACACCTCCACTTTAAATGTTCCTCTGACCGGGAGCGTTTTGTCAGATGAACAAAGACGGAACTATCTGAAAACAAATCTGTATTCTTGGATGAGGCTTCACGGGTGGAACCACGCCAGAATGCGGTAACCTATTTCTGCAAATCGTTGTGAAATAAACATTGCTACTGTCATGTCGTCCTCTTACAAAGTCATCTAAACCTGGAATATGTCAAAGAAATGTACGTTAAAATCAGCGCTGAATAGCTTTCCAGACATTTTTGTCCTCTTACAGCCGTGAGAGCGTTTGCAGAAGGCTCCACAGCACCACAGAAGAAGAACACATCCCACACATACATTGCCCTGTCCCTTCTTCCTAATGAGCTTTATCGCATTGGTCCCGCTTGACTTGTCTTGCTAACTGGCACACATATATCCATATGTTCCACATGAGCGAGCAGAGGGGACAGGCTGGGTGGCAGTGCTGCTTTCTCAGTTACAACTCAGTAGAGTTTTACTGCAACAGCCAGCAGCAACAGCAAGTCGGCTTAACTCCGTCTCTGCTGTGAGTCTGCGGACTGCAATTAGTCACGAGAAGTGTTAACGGCATCCGCTCGTTCTTAGTGTTCAATGCATCAACAGTCGAATGCACACCTGAACATTTGAATGGCCTGTTCCCGATGTAGCTCCTTGAGCTGGTCGTTCATTGTTAAAGTTCAAGCACGCGCAGAACATATAAAGTGCTAGGAGGAAATTGTGAGCAGTGGAGGACTTTAAAGTATCGTGTCCCTGGAATCTGATCGCTGCAGACTAGGAGTGCAAAGTCTGCCCCGCGATACAGCTACTGCGCTATAATTCAAGGAGAAATAATTACAAATTCATGATTATTCCTTGAGGCTTAAAAAAAATATATATATACACTTTTAATTTATTGACACAATTCGAGAGCATGTTCAGTGTGGAAATGTAGTTTTATTAATGTGTTTGGGCCCATTTGTGTTGTGGACTCTGAAAGCCATGAGGTTTGGGACAAAAAACAACAACAGAAACAAACAGATAAAAAGAAGAAAGAAAAGGCCAAATGACATGAATTTGATTATATAATATACACATACAATGTGATCAGAATTTGATCTTTTCACAAGTTGCATACCTCTATGCGGGTTTATACGGAGTACACATTAAGAAATATAGAACATAGGATTTAAAAACCAGACATGGCAGAACACTAGGTTCATACTGCATATACAATGCCAGATGGACAGGAAATACATTTGTACAGCGAATACAAAAATATGACCTCTGAGTTATGTAGCAGGTGGAGATACTTAGTCAAACTAAAAAAAACATCATCATCATCTAAAATAGTAAAAGGAAGAAGCTCAAATGTAACATGAGGTAAATGAAATGTAAAGGGGAGCATACTGTTGGCCTAATTATACTAATAAATACATTTAAAAAAAAAAGAAGCAAGATTCACAGGCTACACTTAATCCAAACATGTGCAAATACCGTGCCATTAATTATCAATTAATAAACATTTCTTAAAGCACTTAACTAATCCAAAAACAACCAATCTTCATCAAATCATGTGGCCAGGAAAATGTAAACAAAATCAGAATTTGTGAATAAAGAATAAAAAAAATTGCTGTACTCCTCTCGAACTCAAAGTACAAAAGAGATTTGATAAATAAATAAAACAGAATGAATGTTCTGCGCTGTAGTTTCACATTAACAGTACTATCAAAAGCTTGGCATTAAGCTTGGACAGGTTTCATTAGAAGACTATCTACACAGATCTCTGAGGCAGTGAAGCCGGCGATGCGGCTGGAAGGCACCGTGGATGAAGAGGGAAGTCCACCGTGTCCGGATTTGCTCCTGAGTGTCAGAAACCGAGCCGAGACGGCCCCTTAGTGTTAGTGGTCCGACCAACCCTGATCCCTCCTGTTCGGCATCTACAGTGTTGACTTACAACCCAACACTCTGACATCGGTCCCGCTGCTAAAAGGAATGGATGGAGAGGTGGTTGCGGGGATCGGAGAAGGTGCAAGAGTCAAACTTGGGTCTTTGAAAACAAAGATGTTCACCAACCCTCCTTTCACACATACACACACACACACATGCACGCACGCACACACACACACAGAAACCGCAGTGAGAGCTCAGAGCTCATCGTGGTTCTTGGTGAGGTCCTCTCCGTAGTTGGTGGCCTGGCTTCCAACGAACATGTTCCAGTTTTCAAGGATTTCCTCTTTGGTCAGCATTTGGTCCTGAGGAGGGAGGACAAGGGGATTGCATGATGAGTAACCCGTATACCATAACAGCATACGTATCGAAATATACGAAAGCACATTATTGTTTATACCAGACGAAGGCCACAGCAATGACAATAAAATGAAGGTTCTACCAATGAAGTTTTTACTGTAGGCTGACAGACCTCAGACATAGAAGATAAACAAGTTGATGCAGATGAAAGTACGCACCTTGTCTTGGTCAGACTCATACACCAGATGTCTCGCCTCAGCTTTGGCGTGGTCGTAGTCTTGTGGCATGATCCAGTGGCGGATTTCGTCCTGGTCCATCTTACCATCTTTGTTCAAGTCTCGGAAGTCAGAGAACTGTTCCCGCTCGGTCTTGATCCAGTCCGGCTCCGGACCCCCGTCCTGGTGGGCAAACATGTCGGCTGGAACAGCAAGGCACAATGCATGTTCATGTTGGAAGTAAAAAAAAAAAAATCTAAATTAAAAAAGGTATTTATGCTTCAAATATACTTCCATGAAACAATAGTGGTCAGACATACTTCCTATGCAACAAACAAATATGGGATTCCTTCCTCAAATCAACTCACAACGTCAATCAAAAGTGTAATAAATTAAATTTTACATTACAAACAGCTATGCCGGAGCTGCAATCGCCTGTGTCTGTGACCACTGGCCTCTTGTGATCCTTTTAAGGCGTAGTTTTGTTGCATTAGATAGCGTGTTGTTATCGAATATCTACTTTTTTTGAGTAACCAGATTCATTTTTATGTATTGCTTAAACTTACCAATATACTCATCTTCATCCACGTGTCCGTCTTCGTTCTTGTCAATGTCCTCTAAGGTTTCCTGCGTGAGTCAATAAAACCATTAAAAAGGACACACAAGGGTCAACATTAGTGGAACTCTCGCTTTGAGTAATAAAAGAAAAACACGTGTCCCTATTTGTAGGGTTTCCTGCAAATAAGAGGCACGTTAAACGATGAGCCAACACTGGCTCTTCAGAGCCCAGCTGGATGGTTTCTACCTCTTACTGTAGATTTAACATTGTGAATTTGACTGAACGGTTATTTAAAGGACTGCCGTGTCACCCCACGAGTTAGCAACTGACAGAAATACACTAATGGCAATAGATATTGGCACAACAACATACACCCATGGTACACGGATTGAAATCACTGTATGCATCACCTGCAGGTGAGATGCCTTCACTGAAACATACTGAATGATTAAAAGCAGAGTAGCTGCTGTAGGCTAACAGCTGACTAATAAAAAACAACCACATTTCACCCGTTTTATAAACCACTGAACCTGTAAAGGGTTGCGTGTAAACAAGAAAGGACACATTCACAGAAAAGATATAACCCCGTAGACCTCTGTAACCACTAGCGGGGATAGAGATGTTTTATACGTCTTCCTATAAAATCACCTCGGACCACCATGAACCTGAGCCAGCATGACAAATAAAATGGAATGGGAAAACGCAAGCACGGCAATGAGAAGACTCTATAAAATATGCCGTTCCAAACTACCGGGACGTTCCTGTGGGACACTGGGGAGTGTGGACAGTGTAATGCAGCGGAGGTCTCAGGTAGGTACGAAGCCCAACATTAAACCGAGTCCTCTGTTATGTGAATGAGTGTGTAGGTGCACACTTGCACACTGCCTGAGCTACAAGCTCCATTAGTGAGCTGTCCTGGTATCCTACGATCGTGTCCTTTCTAAAGTGTCCTTTCCTTCCCTCTCCGCGTAGAACAACCTCAACCATTGTTTGTGGTTGTTTGAAAAGACCCGTGTTAGAAAAGAAAAGAGCTGAACCTCTTAATATTGTGAGAACAAGACTGATCTTCGGCCAGATTTTCCACAATCCGTGAACATACTGGATGACATTTGATGATTCCACAAAATGAGGGATTAATTATTAACTCTGTCAAATGGATAATACAACTTTTATGAAGAGCGCAGCATAGTGCATCACTGCTAACATTTGTCCATCCCACTGGACCTGTTCCACAAAAAAATACAGAAAGTCAATCATTTCGTGGCCCAGTTGAAGTTTCATTAAGGTGTTATCACATAGCACCTCTATCCAAGTGACCAATAAGGAAAAGATCACATGGATTACAACCTCAAATCTGCTCCTAGACAATTAAAGATCGACATAACTGAAAATTTGACTAGCATCCAAATCTGAATTTACATCCATAACAACCATGTGGTTACAGAAACTTACCAGGACCACTGTGTCCCTCATGTGTTCAAACTCCTCAGGGTGGAGGAAGGATGTGAACTCTTCTCTGTCGGCTGCCAGGTCCCCGTCCAGATCAGCTCTCTTAAACCTCCTCTCATCACGGGGCAGCATCTTCTTGAAGCTAAACTGTTCTGTTGCTTCGTCAAACTCCTCCGGGTTGGCTAACGGGGAGGAATTAAAATCAGGTTACTGTCACACATGGAAATAGCCACTTTAATACCGCGCTGTCAAAAAGGAAGCGACCCGGGCCGGAAGGAAACATTACGCACAGAGGTAGTATCCGTATGTGGCTTGCTTGTACTCATCCCACGAAATCTTGTTGTCTTTGTTGAGATCGTAGTCCGTCCACACCTTCGCCACGTTCTCATAGACGTAACGCTTCTGCACGCGTTTTATCCAAGCCTTGAGTTCATCCGTGGTGATGTAGCCATCCGCGTCGCCGTCTATCTTGTCCACTATATTACTGGAAGGAAAGAGAACAGAACGACAGGGAGCATTTTGTTAAGAGTTATCATACATACGTTCACGGTGAAGGGATCTTTGCGATGCGTCTCGCCTCAAAAGATATTATCCTTATTGGAGGTCAGGGGACAAAACGAATGAAACGCACATTCAGGCGCAGCACTTTTACTATAATGGGACTACTCCTACGGGAGACAGCAGGCTAACGGAGAAATCCTGGTGAAGAATGCCGTGTAGCTGTATTCTTAGACCTGCTTTGCCACGTTGGGATGGAAGGGTCCTCCCACTCTCAACACCACAGGAAACTGATTTTTTTTTTTTTTAGCCCCATTGAGCCAACGTGTGTTACACGGTGGCAACTTGTCAACCAGGCAGTAGCTAAAAAAAGAAAACACAGAGAACCACGTGGCACGCACAGTGTGGGGCCTCCCCACGGCGTTAGGTGACAGCAGCTCTACGTGAAGACCGTGTCCTGCCACGTTAACTGCGCTCAAACTTCGCCACCTACAAACGCTTCTTTGACGGCCATGTTTAATTAAGATTTTGGGGCCGAGCAATTAACTCGAGCGTGCGGCTCGAGCCGGTGACGTAATGACGTCTTACAGCGCCGGGTTGTGCGCATCTTTCTCAGGCACTCGCATTAAGATGTTAATTTCCTCAGCCCCCCCAAACAGTTACACGCAACAGAGCCCTTCGTGGGAAGGGGGGGGTGGTGGGACTCGCGTGATTTAACACAATAAGCCCCGTGACAAAATCAAAATCGTGTGTCGAGAGAGTGTGACGACATGTCCTTACCCGAGCCTGTCCTTGCTCTCCTCGGGAGTGAGCTGGTCAAATGTCCTGGCTTCCTCTTTGCCGAGAAAGGCCTCATGGTCGTATTGGAAGCTCGTATTGTCTTCGTGGGCTTGCCTGCCCAGTTCTTGGTCGTGAATAACTCGGTCTTTCCTCAACGTGGGCTTACCGTGCACCGCGGCAGCGCACAGGAGCGCGGCGCACACGAAGCCGAGGAGCTCCATCGGACGGAGATGAAGCTGCAGATGAAGCTCGAGATGAAGCCGCAGGTCGCGAGCTCTTGTTTTCTAAACAGGCCCGTCACACCGACAATGAGCAGGCGGCAATGTGGCCACTTTGAACCGCTCGTGCACGACCCAAACCGAGCTGACGTCTTCTGTTCAGCAGCGGTGTGCAACAATGTTTCAATAAGCAAACCTTCAGAGGGGACCTGGGGCTTCAGACAGGTCCGCTGACAACACCTACGGACTTCACTCAAGCGGTTTTGGGGCAATCCCGTCCCCCTTTTTCGGAAGGAGGGACGCAACCAAACCGGGATATTCTGCCGCCTTACGTACAGCCAATCACATGGGCCGTTTCAAGCGAGGTCCGACCTCCCCGCTGACAGGAGCCCTGTCATTGGTCCACGGGCTGTCGGTAACGCGAGAGGGATTCGAGCGCCACGTTGCACGCTGACGCGTAGAGTCAGCCCGCTGTGGACTCGGTACCGGTCACTGTGAAACAGGTAAGCAGGGGAAGTAACGAACTGTCCCCACATTGCAAACCCAACGGAGCGGGTCGTTTATTTTTCACGGCCGAGTTCCCTCTCATACTAACGTGCCACGACAGCGTGGCTGTGTGTAAACGTGTCGAGCGTAAGGGTTTGTGCACGTGTCCAAGTCCCCCACTTTAATATCCACCGTCACCCACAAATATGCATCCTTGTAGAGTCAACAACAACCAACCAAAGCCTTAGGAGTGTCCCTGGGAGTTTAAGTTATAGCGTTGTGTGTGTTGACGCACTGTTGTCTCTTATGAACAAGACAAAAAAAGAATTGTAGCTGCTGGGTTTGAGTTTTGAGATTCGCGGGCCGCTCGGTTGGTTCCAGAGAAGTAACTAACCTGTAGTGTCTTAACTAACGGAATGTAGGGAGGGTGCAAGAGCAATGCATTCGTTTTTGCTTAAATTGAGATTTAGGCCTTTGTCTCAGTAGCCATTTTATTGACCCTGCAGGATAAACACAGGTGTAAATAGTTGTATTAATTCTGACCCTGTTTCATCAAGGTGGGCCAGGGCCCTGCTTTTGTGCGTACTTTCAAACAAACATAGAATGGCTGTGACAAAATAGAATGGGGACATAATTAATTGTATTCATTTCACCTGTATTCACCCTGTTTTACACGTCAGAATGTCTCCTGTTACAGCGTTTATATAGAATTAAACGCAATAATATGGCAGTAACAACTTTTACCCATGCAAAGATACTGGGGAGGAACGTCTACCTGCGCAGACAAATCAATGTCCTCCATTCTCAAAGACCCCACTCACCCCCAACATAGACTGTTCAAGCTTCTACCCTTAGGCAGGAGGTATAGAAGTGCCAAATGCAGGACCACCAGACTGAAAAACTATTTTTTTCCCCCACTGCCATTAGAGCCATCAACAGCTGAGAGGACTCTATAACCTAACTCATAACTGGTCTGCACTTTAGCTTGTTAGGATTTCACTTACTGTTACTGTACTGTTCATTTATATTACACACATTTAATTTAAGGTTTTTTTTTACAACCTGCTCAGTTTTGCACTTTTCCCCTTACCTCATTTCCGCCTTATCCTTACCTCATTTCTGCCTTATTTTTATTTCATGTACATTTATGTAAATATTGTATTTTTATTTTAGTTTTAAAATTGGTCGGCTTTCCAGAAAAGGCAAGCACAAGAATTTCAATTCACAGGGCGTGTGTAATTGACAATAAAAATCTTGAATTTGAATGTCCCCTCCCTATATGTGTCTCTGAGCTTCTCCTCACTTTGTTGTCATGCCTGCAGATAACCCAAAGCTATTGAGGTAGCTATCGGGGGAAGCAGAGCGCTGTAGCAGACCAGAGGTGGGCTGCTAGTTGCAGTGAGGGCTTTATGGACAGGGAACAGGGAAAAGTGGGCACAGGTGTCCCAGCTGTCCGCAACTATCCTCTGGCAATAGAAATATGACAGGTCTTTGATACAAATAGAGCAAAAATGCAAGATGTGACAAACTAAATGAGCAGCGGAAAATCTTTTTACAAATTATATACAACTCAATGAGTTCGCACACTGGTATTGGATCATTCTGTTTTGGTAGATTATTTTGGTTGAGGTGTTGGACCGAGAGAAAAAGGTGTATCTTGTTATTAAATCTAGACAAACAATAGTCTAGTTACTACATGCAGTTCTAGTCCAGTACGTGTGTCACTGCGAGTGTGTCCCTGGTCTTGTTGACTTAATGCTTGCGACATAATGTTTTAAGAAAGACATAGAGAGAATTTGCATGGGCAGGGGGGTGCGATCATCTCTACATGAAGATGACTTGAAGAATCAAATTACTTGGATGCATCTTAACTAGCTGTAATATGGAGGAGCATAATCTGTACCCTGGAAACAAGTTGCTGACACTGCCGTGCCTAATCTTCCTCTGTGGGCAGGAGAAATGTGTACTTCGCCATTCATCAGCAGCATAATAAGCCAGCACATGGCACTTTACTGTTTTGCATAAATAGTACACCCCAGTTTATGATTATAAAGGGACCCTGGGGCTAACTAGCCTCTTTATTCTATTAATGAATAGTTAATGTATTTAAATTAGTCCTGCCTGGTCAATTTGAATGACGGTGTTGTGCAGACATGTAGAAATACAAATGTTTCTTTTCCCAGTGAGATGTACCTCTTAAATATGCTTAGTTATACCAATGAACATAAACGGTGTAAAGTATTTTCTATATTACTGGTATTATTACTGGTATTAATGGTATTAAACATGCATCTCACAAGCTTCATCTGCAAGAAGCAATAATAATATTTTCTGTTAACAATATTATTGATGTTTAATCTTCAGAATAGTGCTTAACTCCCTCGAATTAGAACGTATACCATTTTTATAACAGATAACATTGGATGCTTTTGAGGCCTCGTCTGTGTTGAAAGTTCTAAACATTGTAACGTCTTTGCCATATGGTTGTATTAATGGTATTAGACATGCATACCACAAGCTTCACCTGCAAGAAGAAACAATAACATTTTCTGCTAACAATATCATTGATGTTTAATCTTCAGAATAGCGTTTAACTTACTCGATTTAGAACGTATATCATTTTTATAACAGATAATATTAGATGCTTTTGAGGCATTGTCTCTGTGCTGAAGGTTACTGAGAAGTAAAGATTAATCTTAAACAATAGTAGCTGAACAACTGCAGACATTAACATGTTGGAGAGAAAAAGTAGTTGGGAAGAGTGGCTTTCAACATGAATATTTCACAGAGCGAGAGAAGGGGGGGTTGCAGCTACAGGGGTGTTCAGTTAACCATGAGATTACACACACTGCAGAAGGCATTTGGTTAATGTAATTAAGAAAACCCTATGGTGGGAGACACAGAGCATTAGTGTCCGGGATATACAGTTCTGTTGTGGCCTTTTCCTGCCCCACGCCCATCGCCACAGTCTGCGCGTATCTCATTTACTTCTCTTTAGTTTGTCTGTGCGTCGACAATTCATAAGAACTTGTTCATATTTAAGTCCCTATAAATAACTGAGATTCTACACTAATTTGTTGAAGTCAATGTGGCCCTTTTTACTTAAAAATGAGTGCATCTAACCTGAGGGTAAATGATACGCTACATTTTTGCTCAATACGAAGTAGCCCTGTTTTGGTATGCATGTGGCCAAGGCCATTGCACTGGTTTTTGCAGTTAATTCTGTGTATGTTGCTCAAACGTCTGACCATCTAAACGGTACTTTTAGGTGTTTAATGTTTTGGGGATTTTACATGTCGACGAAAAGGCTTCTTCTTTATAGAACAGCATACTTGTAATTGGGCAATGGTAAATTCAACGGGCCTTTTAATTTTTTCTGCCAAACAATGATATAATTTATTGAGATAATATGAAACGATAATGGAAGTAATAGTTAATAAATGTTAACATTTGAAAAAGGAAGATTTGACAAAAAAAATGACTGGCTGACCAACAAACAATGGAGCTTTTAAAATAAGGTTGTGCTAATCTTAGCATAACAGCCCCCTCGTACATCACACTCAGGAGAGGAAATTTGGTACATTTCCCTTTGTTACGACCTTTTGAAAATTCAATGACATTATTCCTCAATTTTCTCCGCTGCTTTATTTTCATGAGGTGCATTTTCACCAAGGTTTCTCCATCGTTTTTAATAAATAGTCTGGGCTTGCGCTGTGTTCTTTGGATTTCTCTTTGCTGCTTTTGATGAATATCAGTTTTGTGTCACCACCTCCACAGTTCTTTTCCATCTGGTTTTAGGGGGGTGGTTCCTGAAGGAGTTGAAGTAGAATGTCGCTTTGACTCAACAACAACAGGGAGTATAGTCTCTCTTCACACAATCACTCTCCACAATGTCCCTCCCCCCGTGTGAATTCACATACTTCTAATAACTCACCGCCCATACTATCCCGGATAGATTAATAAACTTCTCATTGCTGCCACATAGGAGAAAAGGAACCTTTGCTCTGTTTAATGACAACTGTAAAGTGAAGGCAATCATGGGATGCCTCCCATGACATTTCCCAGTTCCTGTCCGCTCCACTTATCTCAGACAAATGACCGTGCCAGGCCACTATCGAGATGAAGCGTTTTCCCCGAGTCATTACGTCTGTCATCAGGGCCATTTCCATATTGAAAAATCTGAAACAATAAACGACGCCTGAGCCTTTAATAACTGTGAGGGAATCGTATTTGGAAAATTGCATTGAAGCAATAACCTTTTCTGCCTGTAATTAGATGACTGAGAGGTCCGGGTTTTAATTAAGTCAGCAATTTATAGTCGCACCGCCATACCTCAGCGTGCTGATTAGTATAGGAGGGATCACAGAACAGCGTTGCCTCAATTTGAGCAGATTTGATCTAGTAATTACAGTGTTATATGGCAAAGGCCGCGGCAAGTCTCAGACTCAAGCCTCTGTTGGGGAAGTGCTCCGTGAAGCATGGCTCTTCCCATCGTTACTCGAGCTGCAAATATGTGGCGAGCAAGTGTCTGTCTGAATAGGTCTTCAAAAGGAGTCATCAACAGAGGACATCATGTTTGAGGAAGCATATTAAGGTGGGATTGTGAATGGGAGGCCCTGTGTGTGTGTGTGTGTGTGTGTTAGGGGGGGATTTGTTTAGGCACAGCATCATTTTATGCTGCATCTTAATTGATCCCATTGGTCACTGTTAAACGTTAACATTTGCACGAGGGGGCAGAACAGTTAAGGAAGCTGTTTTAGCG